TAGCCCATCTGCTAAATCCTGCACTGCACAACCACCCTTTTATTTAAGTTCAGAGATGCGGCTCCTCCATTTAAAGAGCACTTGTTATTTGGGAGGAAATGGAGGCCAGAGTGCACCTGACACCACAGAAAGAGAAAATGAATGTTGGCTCTGCAGCGCAGCTCTCCTATACAGCCAGCCTGACCCAAGCATAATTAATCAATTACCTGTTCTTTTAGCAAACCAATTCTTTTTATTCTTTATCTGTTAGTTACTTCATATGTACAGTGATATCATCCTAAGTCAAGTGTGCTAAAACTGATGACTCTTCCTCTCTCATACAAAGTACTGAATTTGTCATTCTCAATGAAATACTAACTTCTTTATGAATGTTACAGATCATTACACATTGTCACACCAGTTACTATGCTCCTTTTTTTCCCCTCTTATTTCTACTTAGTTCAGTAACACTTGCCTACTAGACCAATTTTGCGTTCAGCTTTTTCTCCAGCCTGCTGCTTAGCAATGTTATCACCTCCGAAAAAGCAGAGAAAGGTTGTAATCCTTTTGTTTATTGGAGAAAGGTATTTTAAAATCTGACACAGTAATATGCTGATCTCCCTCTCACATATACACGTACAGAAATAAAAACAGAAAAGCTCACATAACCCATTTCTATTAACTCACCAATCTTTTAGCTTCAGGAATATTGTGATTCTTTGGATTCTTTATAGGATATACATTAAAATGGACCTTCTAAATACTAACATGTACTAATATACACCATTGTCACATTGTCTGTCATTCATTGGCCTAACCTGTCTTCAAGAAAAGCTTTTTCTTGCCTCTAGGAATTTCCGCCATGTATTTTTGCTAAATCTTTTTCTAGATGAATAGGTAACACTACAGAGCAGACTATACACTGACCTTATGCAGTAGCTCTACAGTATTCCCTCATTTTTTACATCATATTTATACCTTTTAATACTGCGGTTGTTTTGTAACTACCAACACACACCAATTTTGTGTTTTTCTTGAAGTCAAGAATTGCATTGTCAATACACATGAACTCTCATATTTGTATGTGAAGAGTGGGTTGTAGCTGCTATTAAACTAATTCATCTGCTTTTCTGGATCTTTCAGATTCTCTTCAAATTTGTAGAAACCTGATTAATACAATATCATCTGAAAGCATGTCCATCTTGTTGCTCACTGCTTCTTCGCAGCGGCAGCAGGCAAGGTTCGGTTGGCTAACATGAGAGTGCAAAGTTTTCTGATGCAGATAACAGGTTTAATATCCTGGACTATAAATTATACCTTGAAGAATATCTAAATTTCCAGGCCTTTAGTTGCATACTCCTCTGTAACTCTGAAAGTCTGTGGCTGTCTGTTTTTTTAAAATAATAATGATAAAAAAAAATAGATTCCTACTTTATATTGTTGTAGTCCCAAGTAAAGCCAACAGACTGTTCGGTTGTGTTTTCCTTTTAAGATGTATTTCTAGTTTATAAAAAAAATCATTAAATTCTCTTGAACAGATGCAAATATAACAAACAAGAGATTGGGAGGTACTTCACAGTGATAATCTGTAGCTATGGTCTTGATTTAAATGGGACAACGTCGGAACATATGGAGTAAATTTAATTGTCCTACCTTGACTACATACAATCAGAGTGCAGAGATTTCCTTTTTTTTTTTTTGTATTTGCCTCTCAGGTTGGGATTGTGGCTTTTGTCACTTCAGAGTTCTGCCTGAAAGAAGGTAAAAGCATTTTTCCCTAAGGAAAAAGCAAAAGCAGGTGTATCATAAACCTGCCTTCACTGTTCCAAACACATGTGCATAGCACGTATAAATGAAAACAAACAAAACATTCCATCTTTGCAATAAACAGAAATATATTGTGCACATATGGATGAAAGACAAATCCTACAATATTACACCAAGATGCTATAGCATGGCAACACTCAAGAGAAATAGTCTTTGAAGGTGAATCTTTCCCTTTCAAATCCTTACCCCACTTTGTTTGCCAGGGTTTCACCTTATTTTTGTGACAGATCAGTCCCCCTTTTCCTCTTGTGTCCTTCATTCCATTTAACTATTCATAGGACTAATGAAAATTCTTAATATTTATAGAACGTGTATATTTACACTTTCTTTCCAAGGCTGTTTAACCATCTCTTATGGAGGTGGATTAAAAGAAGAAATGGTTGATATAGGAAATGTCTACTAGGATCACTGCCTTTACACACAATATACCTTAGTGTATACTGGGCTTAAAATAATAAAAAAAAGGGTCAATACCACTGTATTGAGCATATACACAATTCATTGCATTCACACAGAATGAAAAAGAAATCTGTTCTAGACAGGTGGAAAAATCCTACATCCTACAAATAACCTAGCCAGCAATGTTTACTGCAAATGTTTGTATCTATAGTGGAAACTGCTTAATCGTCCATTGTGCATAGGAGCTCTCACAGTGTAATGCAGAGTACACCAAAGCAGTGACTAAAGATCACACCATGAACCACAATAAAGTAGTAAAATCTATGTTGAGTGATTTCTGTTGATGCTTAATACAGATTTCGGGATGATTTGTTCTATGTTTTTATGGGTTATAGAGAAACATTTTAACATGACTTAATGACTAGATACTTCAGAATTAGTATAAAAAAGAAAGATGCTCACTTTCTTTACTGTAAAACTGTTTTTGATACATGCTTAAAAATTTCATGAGATAGAAGAATCCTTGGTCTGAACCATTCTCATATGTCCCTATACATAAATTCAATTCAGGAACTGTGGAACATGGGCAAGAAGTACACTCTAATGGTAAAAGCAAGCCAAAGCCAGGGAAGACAAAACTCAATTCTGCTTTACCAGTATAGGAAGTCATGCTGAAACAACAACATAAAAGTTTCCTGCTTCCATTTAAGAGCCCAGTCATACACCTTATTAAAAAAAAAGTAATTTCAGAATTTGTAAGTAAAATTTAACACCCTTCTAAACCAAGCATATTTTGCCTGTAATATCCTATTTTTTACATAAATTAATAGATAAGCCATTTTAAAAAGTCCATTTTCAATATGATTGTTTCAAGTGCTTTTATTTCTCTTATTTCAATAATTTTACTGGCTTTTCTTTTGGCAATATTATAGCACTGTTTTTTTTTCAGGTAGCACAGATTATTTAAAAATAATTAAAGAAACATACGCTTGATTCAGCTTTTCAAAAAACAGAATTTCACAAAGCTAAAAAGATGGAAAGACCTATCTAGTTCAAGTTTCTACTGGGAAAGAAAATGTGTCATCTTTTTTGCCTCTTTTATCAAGTTTACAACACTTGAGACTAGTCACAAATTCTTTTTACCGTGGATAGTCTACAGTCCTACAAATAGTTGCTGATCTTACCACTTCTAAAAGGGGCACTATTCATGCAACACTTAAGCTGTAAGGTGTGGAACAGAGAGCATCAATTTTGCTTAAGGACATAGGAGAACTGTTTTCTTCTGATGTCACATTTTTGTTTAATTAAGATAGTACACTAAAATCCTGCCAGAATCAACATATCAGTGTGAGGGTAAAAGCAAACAGAATTTTATTATGGAAAAATCTACGTCACACAGAGATAAGATTTTTACGATACTCCAGAATTTACCTCCACCATCAACTCCCAGCAAAATTATATAGCTGAATATGTTTTGCACTAGACTCAGAGCTATGCATACCAAAAAGCACATTTAATAGGATAGGGTAGCAACTTCCTTAAAACATAAGCAGAAACTTATTTACATTTTCTATGCAGATCCAACAGTATCCTAAAATTTAGGGCTTGAAAAAACACTGTGATGTTTTAATCTTTAATCTGATTTATATCATAAATGTTCCTAAACCTTTTAATTCATAAAACAGCATCTTACTCTAGTGGAAGTTTGGAAAATAGCAGAAACACAGGATCAGGTCCTACCTTCAAGGACCCCTTATTGCACCTGAATTCATGTAAGGTATTTGATTTTATAAAAAATAAGCAGGTCATTCTGTCAAAGGCGATGAAGATACTTAAGCATTCAAATATAGATTTTTCTTCCTTCTGGAAGACAACCAGTTACCTTAATAGTTAACAATAGGCAAAAAATGGATTGTCAATTGTGATGTGCTTACCCTTCAAGATTAAAATAAAAATGGTTTTGAGAATGACACTCAAAACTGCATGTTCTAAATCACAAATGTTCTATATCCAGTAGAGGATGATGGTGTCCAGTTCCTAAAACTCAAGCACTAAAGGAACCCATTTTTGGTATTTTCAGGTCTATGTAAAGACCAGAAATATCTCAGCTACCATGTATATAGTCATTTTAGCATTGATCACACTATCCCATAACAACAAATACACTGAATTGCCCTTTTTGATCTTCCCTCTAGTGTCTCTGATAAGTATCATGAAAATAATATTTCTATTCATCCACGCAAATGGTGAACTATTTGATTTGGGCATTCTTTTCTCATTTTCGTAAACCTTTCCTATATGATATGATGTTCATTTAACAACTTAGGATACTTTAAACATACTGTATGTGTTCGCTGTATTTGGCATGGAAAGCAGAAACTTCAGAGATATACACCAGCAATTACTGACTAACCTGGAACCACATATATACCACGTGCAGTTGGCATAAAATAATAACTTTCATGCAAATTAGATTGTCAAAACTTCCCTTCTGATGAATGTACAAGGTAATTATTTGTTATTTACGCACGAAGAAATTTTCTTCAAAAGAGGAAATACAGTGGTTAGAGGAGACACCACTCAAAAATTAAGACAGCAACCCCTGTAGTGTCACTGAGATATTCTCATTCTCCAAACTTTTGAAAGAAATCTAAGCAATATAATACTTGTTAATACATCATGAATTTTGACAGGAAACTGGATACGTGCTAATATTTATTGAGTATTCATATTCAAGGAAGGAAAATAGTTCAAGATCACAGTTTTGAGCAGATTAACGTATGTCCCTTTATATAAAGCAGAAGTTAGAAAAGAATTTTTTTCAAGATCATTTTCAAATACATACATTTACAAAACATCAAGGAAGGGTTCTCAGTTTAGTATTTTTTTCCTTTTCAGCAGCTAGTACAAGATTTATAGGAAATATACATAGTCAAATTTGCTTCTGTTTCTGGAGGTTATGGTATATTTAGCCGTAAGGGTACCTTTTGGTTGTTTCTTCAGGATTACTCAGAGATAGCAGCAACGGTTTCTGGAACTTGCTCTGTATCCAGACTCGCTGCATTTTGACTTCTTTCTTTCTGTTGACTTGTAATCGCCGATCAACTAAATTCTGTACTTCAGTTAATCCAGCCAAGCTGAACATGCTGTATACCTCATCTGTTTTTTCATATGAAGAATTATTATAATTTTAAAAAAACGTAGAATGGAATGTAGTAATTAACAACCTACAGTTCATTCAAAGATGAAACAAATCCTATTTTATTATTTGAAAGATCATGAAAATGACATGTAAAATGTCCTCTGTTAAGAAATCCATTTTCCCAGTTTTCAATTCATACTACAGAAGAAATGCCATGATGAGACTCAAAGCACACAGGTTATTATTTATGGCATTCATAGATCGCTTTCTAAGAGGATTCAGTTAAGCTAGGGCTGAGGAAAACAAACACCATTTTTTCCATAATACTGATTTAAAATATGATAAAAAATATTGATTTCATCTGCCAATCCACATACCTATGACAATGTAATTATCTCCTTCTTGACAGTCACAACTGAAAAACCTCTTTTAAGCTTCTCTTTCATTAGTAAACACAGAACAGCTTTCCAAAAACTGAGAAGGCTCTTGGAATTCAAGTGATTTCCCAAACATGTCCTAGATCCTCTTTCTCACCTCTAAAATTAGCCTAGCTGTGAGAAATCCTGATCCATTTCAATTATTTACAGTCTAGTTTATAGAGAAGAAAATTAGTGTAAATGCTAACTTTTACAATTTTCAGCTGCTGGCTGTCAGACTAAGCTGACTATCAGCAGAACCAGGTGAATGGAAGAGAAAAGGGCAATAATCGCCCACAGTCAAGAATTCATCTTAGTTCCTGGAAAAAGAGCAACCATATAGCCAGGGATCATCAACATGGCAGACAAAATATCAGGCCCTGCCCATTATTTTTCCAGGCCTGTTTGTCTGAATTTTAAGAATACTTCAACAGTATTTGATAATCTCACAAGATGTTTAAACAAAGGGCAATTCTGGCAATAGCTGCAAGCAATCTTGCAGATTCCTGGATCCAAGAAGCAAAATATGTCATTACCAACAACCAAGAAAAAGTTATTAACAAGAAGCTTTTTATAGGTTCGATTTAGGTTTCATGGCCATCTTAATCAAGAGAAGGCAACATGCAAGATAGAACTGCATCAGGTAAACCTGAAGACAAGCAAAAATCAGTCTAAGCAATTTAACGCTAATCCAGATTTGGTGTTGCTTACTGGCAAGAAAATACAAAAAAAAAAAAATCAAGGTTTATTCTGGTTTATTATTTATACCTGGAAATTTAGAACCAAAGTAGACGTATGTTTCTGGTCAGATTCTGTGTTCTCTTCAGGGCTCTGCTATTGTAATTTTCTAAGCTCGCAGATTTGATAGAATTATGTTGCTATAAAGAAAATGTGTCTTGCCAAATAGAAAGAAAAAACAACTAAATAAAAATTATTTATTTAGAGTAACTCCAGCTTCTCCCTTCTGACCTCAACCATTCTGTGATTCTGTGTGAGTCTGCGAGGATGGACATATAAAGGAAAAAAAAAATGTTGTCTGAAACAGGGAATATTTTTTCACAAGAGCTTTGGGCTTTTTAAAAGCAGATAATGGAGGAATAAAAAAGACCTACAATTCTGTTTTAATATGAGCTTTTGTAACCCAAATCATCTGGGAAGACAGTCAACACTTTCTTTAAAACTAAATCATTTCATACCTTTGGTAAAGAAATACACTCTGGTTCCATCTCCTCGTACATAAAAATTTTCTGACAAGCAATGACCTAGGAAATTAAAAGAGTAAAAAGGCAAGCCATGTTTTCAAAGAGAGTTTAAATTAAGTAGTAAAATATAAAAACGTGCAGTAGTTACCTTTTTTAAAACGAAGCTGAGACATATCATATCTTCCATAATCTCGAAATAACAACATTCCTCCAGGTTTCAGTAGTTTAGCCAATCTATTTACAACTCTTTGCATCCTTAGAAAATAGAGGGAATCCTAATGAAATTTCCAAAGAAGGCTGTTTAAACTTTTTTTTTCCCCCTAGATGCTTGGAATATGCATAGATTCCTGAAACTAAGATGAGAATGTGTGTCTATATTTACTATGGAACGGCCAGACACTAACAAACAAAAACAACGTTTTACAAATAAAGTCGAGTACAAAATTTGCAAGAAACTGTTATTACAGAATACAAACTAGCAAGAAAAAAAGACTCTTTTTCCTTCCCGTAAACAGAATCTCATGAATCAAAACACAGTTTTTATTATATGCGCCATATAAGCCAGGCAGATATATGAAAAACAATGAATGAACAGCTAGCTCTGTTCACTGGTGAGCTAGGTTGAACCCTCTCTCTATACACAAGCAAAATCAAAAGTTTGCATAATGGACAAAATCTAATTTCTTTATGGAGGCAGTTACCACAAACACAAAGTCACCACCTGAATGTAGTCAGCTAACTGTGGAGAATAGGAGTCTGGGTAGTGTCTGAAGAAAATAATCTGGAAATGTTGGCAATTCGGGGGAGGAAAGTCTACAACCTCCAAAATGCTGAAACTTTGGGCATCTTAACCACATCTAATATCATCTCTTCCCTCTCGATACTGCACTAGCCAGCCATAGGTTTTCTAGAAATAAGTGTCATACTCTGTACTCTTTTCCCTTCTCTGGCACAGAGCATCTTCCTCCTCGTTATTTATGCTTACCTTGGAGCTTCTCATAAATAATTTGCATTATTCTGCAAAGTACCTTACTAATCAATAATGCTCAAATCTTTTAAAACAACATACAGGACTCAGATTCTGCACATTCACAAAAGACCACGAAAGGCCACCATATATGCACCTGGCAGCCAGCAAGGTAGAAGAGGCTGCAAGGTCAATTCAGCCCTGCCTACCTCGGAGAAGTAGAAGGGCAGGGTGGGAGATGTGGAGCCAGAGGGAGGGTAATTTAAGCGATAAGTAAGGCAAGCTGCTGTATCTTAAAAAGAAGTAGAGAAAATAAAGTCCTTCTTAAATATGCAAAATTGACATTATTGCCTAACAAGAGAATATCCTTATATCGCTCCTGCATCTTAGTCAGCTTTCTCTCATTTGGTACTTATCTAACAGCAGTGCAGACATCCTATCTTGACATTTATGGGGCTGAGTTAGGAGATTATTCAGCATACGCTTTTTGAGCACTGGGATTTCTTGTTTTTCATGCATAATATTGGCAACAAAAGAGAAAAAGGTAGCTCCACGTAAGAATAATGTACTGGTCAAAAATGCATAGAACTACACATTTTGCCTACGTAAACATGAGTTTTGTGCACAGAAAAGTGCACAGAAAGTGAAAGTGCTGTGAGAAATCTGGTCTTTTTAGTATTAAATCACACTAATCACACAGCATGAGGAAAGTTTAGGATCTTTCAAATTTAGAGACCAATTTAAAGAGGAGACTGCTAGCAGAAGACAAGTGTATTACCTTTTAGGTACAATATCACTCACAAGAGCCCAAAGAGGAACCACTAGGTAACAGTGGTGCTGATTATATCTGTGTATCTCTCACACATGTTTTCTGGGTCTCCTAAGTACATATATCTGAAGTTTTGCACCATCACTCTTAGTTTTCTTTTCCAATATCCCTCATTCCAAAATTCTGGTATTTAAATATTAAGCAACAAGGGGTTGGATTACATTTTTCTTTCTAGAGTCATTTTAATTCTAGATGAGCGATTTTATCACACAAATGAATTAAACAGGTATTTTTACATATATATTTGCAAAACCAGTGATGTCAGCCTTTGGATGCTAACACAGGGAGAAAGATAGACAAATACATTTATTCTCAAATAATTAACAGAAGTTGAGATAGAACATCTGATTACTGCTTCTTCAGGCAAAGTGATTCAATGAATGTGTCTCTATTGTCCAATTTCCTCCTGGCTGCGTCAATGTAGTTACAGAGATCTGAGATCTACTGCTTGATTTTTTTTTTTTTTTTTTTAAATCTGGACCCAGGCATTGCATGACTCATACGCTCACCTCTGAACAAACAGGAAGGAGCAACATCCTATATGGGATAGACTTTTCTGTAAAGCTAATCATTAATAACATAGGCAGGCAAGCTGGGAAACAAGCTTCAGATTTAGGCAAATATTGCTCTGTTTGCCAAGCCCATTTTAATGACATTCTTAAAGCAATAAACGCCCTATCACACACAGGGCACACATTTCCCTTCATATGGTCTAGTTAAAGAAAGAGTCAAGTAGTTTAACTTACATGTAGCCTTTTGCACTTTTCCCATTAAAAACTGTATTTTTAAAACTAGCCAGCTTTAACAACCATGAAGCTTGGTTCATTAGACATTGAGAGGCATTTAGTAATAATGCTAATAGTTCTCAACATAATACCATGGATGCAAAGTAGATTAAGTTTTCCTAATCCAAACAAGCTACACAATTCTGAATGTGTTTTGGTTTAAGAGGCCATCTTCTATACATCTATGTGTGGCTTAATTAGCAACCTAAATCTTTATCAATATATTGTAAGATATTAAAATAAGAATGTTTGCTTTTGATCGCTAAAAATACTCTCCTTTTGAAGGACTCACAGTCTGTTTCTGGACTCATAATTTTCTTGAAGCACTGTCAGTTTTAACAGGGATGTATTCTGTTAGAAACTCATTTTAGTTTGAAGGAGACAGGAGGCTTTCTAATGAAGTAGTCTAAGCAGCTTCTCTTTCTAAGCCTGAAAATGGGAAAGAGCATTTAAAATACCTTGTTTTATATAAATCATAGCTTACTAAATAATAAATTAAAGATTCATCATCTTCCTTTGATATTCTTGAAAATTTTTAGTGATAAAAGAGATTTAACCTATTTGCTTTGCCCTTCAGTCTTCATTTACCTGTCAGGATGAATAGCAGAGAGCACAAAGACAAGGAGAATGACATCCAGGATCTCATCAGGAAAAGGATAGGGTAAGGCATCATCACACACATCATGAACAAAGGCAAAACACCAGGCTGAATTGTAGGACGAATGTGACTGTCAAAAAAAGGATGAAAAGAGGCATAGAGATAACAGTAGTAGTTAATACGTTTACTATGACTCAAGAAACTTTTTTTTCTTCAATTATTCAGTATTGTAAAACATTTCATATAAAAGCCTATTCTGACTGGTATCTTGCTCAAGCTGAGAAGCAAGCTCACTGATGGTATTCATTCCTCTCCTGCACAGAGTAAGACTTTGTTCTTTGGAATACTGAAAACTTCAGTTAGAAGTTGTCAAAGCCATCATACTCTTTTTCATGAAGATGGCTTCCTGGCAGCCTCCTGAATTACATGCTTATAATATACTGAAGTGAGCATATGAATTACCTTTACCAGATCCACTGCTCCTGAAGCAAAATCACAACAGTATAGAAAGGTACCAGGTGCATTGCTAGGAAAACAAAACCAACATCAGTTAAAGAATTATTATTGAAAAAGATGAAAGTCTACATCACTAGTCTTGGCAGTACACATAGCCCTTTGGGGTTCTCCGCAGGTTTGATCGAGCATGCCTTATTGATGTCTAGCACCTGGAAAGCCACATAGCTTGTAATGAAGCAATAGGGCAGACAGATTTGTAAGAATACCAACAGGCACTTAGTATAAAAAGAAAAATTATGGTCTTGTCAGGGAAGGAGTGGAAAGGAAAAGAAAGAGGGTCACAGAGGGCTGCCAGGATTGATGGCAACGTCCTAGTGCTGTATTATATAAATATACATGAATAGGTCACATTTTCTTACAGGAGCATTGAACTAAGTGTCTATCATTAGCCCACATAAACAGACTAATTAGCAATATGTGTCTTGAAGGGCTTTTTTGTTGTTTTTTCAGGGCTGCAAAAGTCATACACAGTTCTGCAGAGGTTTGGGTTCTCAAGTGCCACCTGCCTTGCTTTTGATTACATTCAGCAGTATTGGCTGTTTCTCTCTACTGTCCTTCTGTTTTACAACCCAGATGAATACAGGTTTCCTGTAACACTGTTTTCTCCTCTTCCCATTCAGAGACTAAGCTAGCTGCAAATTTCCTTGTACATCAGATACTAGTAACTCTGTAGAGAAGCTTTTCTTACCTCCTAAAAACCCGTCTAAAGGAAAGTGACCAAACACCTCAAGACCCAGCTGAGGGACAGTATCGCAATCCATTCCTGACTAGATGCTCTCTCCTAAAATACTGGAGATTTTGGATGAAGGTTTTCTTTAGAAAAGAAACTGAAGAAACATGGTAGTGCTTATGACATCTCACAGTACACACAGCTGAGTAAGTGACCTGTTTCTGAGGATTCATCAGGCTGTAGACCAAAATCTACTCCCATCTTCTTTATGTCTGATCAAAAATTTCATCAGGTCTGTGACTATCACAGAAGTCTGTGAGCTTAGGTGTTTGATTACCAGGGATAAGGACAAGAAGCTATGATTTGGACTCAGTTAGATGCTTGGGAAAGACCAGCTACTTACCCATAAATGACTTGTTAGGGTGTAGGTTTCTTTTTCTTAAAAAAGCAGAATAGGAGTTCTGAGAAATGTCAATTTAAAAAAAAAAAAAAAAGACACATCTTGATCTGGATGGATATTTCACGATGCTTTGTATTAAAAAGCATGGACTTAATTTTGAGGGAGAGGGTGTTTTATGTTACAAATGTAGGTCTAATTTTTTTGTAGCTACAGTGGCTACTTGACTCTGGCTTCTTTTTGTGTGCATACTAAAGACAATTTTTACGTTATTAAATACAGAGTAGAAACAACTGTGCTAAAAATTATTTAAGAGGTAGGAGATGCTTCCATCAGACAAAAGTGTCAGTTCTTCAACGCACTGATCTGATCATCTGAAAGATTTGCATAAGAATAGAGATCTCAAGGAAAAATACCAAATGAATGGATCCTTAATTATCCAAAATGCTAACCTATGACTAATGCCTCCTGTGAGGAAAACACAAGAGTTTGTATTCTGCTTTTCAACAGAAGCACTTAGGATCTATCCAATTCCATTATGTAGGGGTATTTCTCAAACTTTTCATGTGACACAGGGCTCCCCTTTCCTTATGTGTCTGAAGCAAAGAATCTGTTTTGGGACAAAGATGCAATGCTAACATGGTAATAAGCTTCATGTATGATCCTAGTACACCACTTGTTTCTGTATCCACAAAATGGAGTACTTCCACACAGCAATGATGCTAGTAGTGGTAGCAGTGAGCTTGGTTTACAGAATAGTAAGAACTCTGCTGTATAGGGTATTATGGAGGCATGAACATAAAGAAATCTATTCCAACCTCCCTTGATCCATACATAATCTTTCCAACAAAACCTGCCTGCCTGCCTACCATGGAGGACACGCTGTCATAACACCTTTTTCTGAAAACTGAAGCTAAATGGATTAGGTGTCTCAAGGAATTAAGTAACGTAATGCAGGACTTGTGCTTTCCTTGGCACCGAAACCTGAAGCAATATGACAAAGTATATTAGCCAAATTTGAAATAAAACTTCTTGTCAGTAGATCATGCACCATTATTTACTGTCTTTGATTTTGGCCCTTTGAAGAGAGAATAACTGGTAGTTGTATGGAAACATGAGACAAAGGACAAGGAAATTTAACCTACCTGAGATTAACTATTGAAAGCCAATCTGAATCTGAAAACAAATATACCTCCTCAGCACACATGGTCACCTCAAGTATAGAGCTGAATAGCGTAAGCAATATACTGTAATGGCACTATCTACTTTTTTTTTTTTTTTTTTTGCAATCAGAATTTCAGGACTCTAAAGAAGTCCAGGCAACACTCCTTGCAGCACTGGTCTAGCACCAACATTTGAAGACACAGAAGCGTGCAACTTTTGTATTTGAAAATCTGGCACTACATACCATAGAACTTTCAAAATAGGAAACACACTATTTCCAGCACCACAACCAACCTAGTATTGAGAGAGAAATAGAAAGTTAAAACAAATAAGCAAAAAAAATCGCATATTTTATATTTTTTTCTTAAATTACGTGATAGGTAGGACCTGTAATACTTGAAGATATCTTAGACAGAAAAGGAAAAAATCGCTTACTCAAAAATGCTCATATCACTTCTATGACCAGTTTTCCCCTCAGTATCTTTCCAATGCTAAGAAAGAACACAGCTCTCGAACAATTGCATAGGGAAAAACAATATTCTTGTGCAACTTCACCATCTGGCAAGAACATGTTGACTATGGAGAACAAAGCATTTTAAGTAAGAATTTTCTTTAGGAATTTAAAAACCCAATATCTAGTGACTTTCAATGGAATATAGTCATCTAGCTCCAGATCCTAAATTGGGAGGAACTTGCAAGGAGAAACAAAATCTAGATTCTAGGTTCTTCTGAAGGGTATTGTCCTAAGTGAATGTAGTACTTTAAGTCTTCAATGTTTACTTTCTAGATAGTTATTGAGCACCTTTATCCATAGTTTTGAGAAATTATGTAGAGTTGCAAATCATGGGTGGCATGTTTGCAGTGCATTACCTCTAACACTCTGTAAGCAGCACCACTACCAGGAAAGGATTCTAGCTTGCCAACTTTTTCTCTACAATCTTTACCCTGAGGATTGCGAGCAACACATTTTGCTTGTTTTTTGCTATATACTTGTCCTTGTACAAAAGTAGAGTCTTCCCCATAATGATTCCCCCAGCATTCTTTTCCTTTTTCAAATGTTCCAGGAAAATCCTTGTGAAGAAAACTGCTGGTACTTTTTATTTTTATGGGTTCTGAAGATTCTTCCTCTGCTTTCAACTGTTCTCTCTTTTTTTCTGGAAGAATTTCTGGGAACTCCAGAAACAACCAATTGCGATCCTTGAAAAAGTTATTCTTATGAGTCTTATAAAATTCATTCCAATATTTACTGGCTTCTCTCTCATATTTATCTGAAAAACAAAACAAAAACAGGGTTACTATTGGCTTAACTGCATAATAACGTAAAACACCATAAAATTAGGACCCCAAACCTACAGTTTAAGAAGTGTGCCTCCCATATTCTGAATCTTTAAATAAAGCCACACAGATTCTGGGTCTTTTGAGTTTCACTAAAAAACTCTATGAGAGTTTAATTAGATTTTATCATAGGATGAGACAGACAGCCTTTCTGCATCATCAATTTAGTCTGTATACAGTGACATTATAGGGCAGCATCACTCTCACTAAAATATGTAGTCATGAGTTTCTTAGACAATTTTTCACATCCCAAATTACAAAACCAATGGCTCTTTTCAATTAAATATTTTCCATGATTTTCCTATTTAAGAAATACTGAATTGAAAATAATTCCACAATTTATGAAACTCTGTGAACAATTGAAAATTTGACAGTAAAATCCATCTCTCTAGAAACATCAATTACAAAACCATTCCCTTGAACTGATCAATGCTATTGCACAGCCAATAGAAAAAAAAAATCATTCACACCCATTCAGAAACTCCCTTTTGACAGAAAATAACAACACAGCAATAACAATCCAGAAGCTACAGAATGGCTTCCTTACTGTGAAAACATTTCAAAGAAGTTTTATAACAGACTTTTGTGTAACTTTTACTTTATAAGATATATTCCTATGGAATCAAAAAAGCACTTGGAAGGACTTGATTAAGTCAAAGAATCCACATTCCTTGCACATAGAAGTTTGTTCAAATTGTTCTTAAACACTGATGGAGATTGGACAACTTCCTTCAGTAACTTATTCCAGTCCTTCAGCACCTATAGAGTTAGGAACCTTTTTTCACTACTCAACTTGAAATTTCTTTCCATTCTTGTCCCATTAAAGAAGCAGACAGAGAAAAGATTAATCCCTTCTCTTTGCAAAAGCCATTTATTTATTTGAAGACTTCTACTATGTCCCCCCTAAACAATCTCTTTTCTATATTTTCTAAGTCTTTCACATACACACGCCATGATTCTAAGAGTTCTGATCACTGCAATTTTTTATTCTCTAAACTCTAATTGATATACTTCTTTTCGGTGCTGTAGTTCAGGAAAAGACATTATCAACACAGAGCAAAAGGAATATTTAATGAATCTCACAGGCTGTAATCCTTTTCATACATCTTGGCTTGCCATTTTGCAACAGCATGACACTGCTGATTCAGATGGTGATTCACCACAGCCCTCAGATCTTCTGCAAAATTAATACCTAACCAATTGTTCCAGAACCCAGTAACCCAGTATTTTTTTTTTCCAGGAAATTACTCCTAAGCAAAGTGTTTTGCACTTTTCATCAGTAAATTTAACTCCATTTCTTTCACATCATTATTCCAATTTGTCAACATTTTCCTCAATTCTAATACTCTCTTTTACCATACTTGAAACACCTCCTCCCTTATTATCATCTTCAAGTTTCCCATTCTTGAAATCACTAATGAAAATACCAGGCAGTACTGGATGCCAAACAAAATGGTGTTCTGCCCAGTACAACCTTCCATTCTGAAAGAAACTCTCTAGCATTCAGTCACCCAGAAGTAGTTTCATTAGATCTTTCTCATGTAACTTGCTTATATGATGTCAAGTAAAACCCAGTTGAAAGCCTAATTAAGGACCAGTTTTAGAACATCTGCTGTTTTTCCCTTATCTCCAGGGCTCACAATCTTCTCCAAGACTGAAATTAACCTGATTTTATATCATTTATTCTTGAAAAATATTTGTTGGACAGTATTCATCTCCCTTGTTTTTTCCAATCCCAGGGTTTGCAAGTACTTGATTATTTCTTCCAGTATTTTTCCAGGAATTAAAACTGTAATTCTCTAACTCTTCTCTGTCTGCCTCTTTTTTTTTTTTAAAAAAAAGGTAAGTAGTCTTGGTCATCCATATACTTATGGATGTGCTTTGTAATTTATTCTTTCTCAATACTAGAAGCAGTGTCTTCTTGCCAGCACTAATAGTGCTAGCCACTAGGCTGTATCTAACCCCTACAAAGGAAGGCTGATAAAAAGATTAAAAAATCAGCTTTCTCAACATCTCTTTTGTTGATGATTTGCCCTTCTTTATCTCTCCTTCTAAGTATGGAACAAATCTTTTTCTGTTTTTCCCTCATTCTCAAAGCATTTACAGAATTTTCTTGTTATCTTTGACATCTCTTGCTAACTTTACATCATAAAATATATTATCATCTTTTTGATTCTGCCCCCTACCCACTCATTTATTTAGTTGCTTTTAAAAAATACAGTTCAGAGTACATATGCTCACTTATTTCACTTATTATGCTCACTTAAATCTTAATATGCTAGTTTCTAAATTGTTACTGCTTTCAAATATAAACAAATCTGAGAATAATAGACAAAGAGAGAAGTAGTGGGAACTGGGAAGGAGGTGGCAGAATGCCTTGTCCTAAAAATCTGCATAATTTTTAAAATTTAACATTTAAGGCATCCAATTGTATTATTAAAGGACAAAACTCAGACATCTTGAGTAACTCTACGGAATTATTTTACAATATAAGTGAAGAGTTAATTGAGGTCATCTATACCAGATTTCAATAGTCTTATGTTGCACATTCATAGAGATTGCTCGGCTCTAAGATAAAAACAAATCTTTTACTCAAAAGATTCATAAATCATCATCAACCCTTGTCATAGTTACTATTTTTTTCTCCAGGTTTGCCCAGAACCCTGTATTTAAATTCCCAGCAAGTTTTTTTTAGATTTCAGAATGGAAATACAGGAAAGTTGGGCATTAAGTTGGTCCCAGTGAAATGACACTGTACTTTCCACCTCTGCTCCACTGTGTAATACCCATTCATCCATTACTCCTATAAATTCTTTTTCTCATATATGCTACCGAAGCCATAATTTTTGTGTCAACTCTACTAACAGTTAGTTTCTGAATTCATTAGAAGATAAGGTTAAAAATTACTTGCCACATTCAATAACTCTGTACTCTTTATTTTGTTAATCTCCAAAAGTTTCCTAAAATAGAATGAACAGTTATCCTCTTGGCTCCTGGGGTTTGCCAGAGGAGAGGGGAGATCTGCTCATTCCATTTTAAAAAGCTGCTCGATGACTGAATTTTCTAAAGAATGTAAAAATCACAGAATTCACAAATGTGTACGCTTCTGAAGCAAAAGCATCTTTTACTGGTCCTTTTTTTTTTTTTCCCTCTTAACAGAGTTTGTTATGATATGCATTTGATACTACACCAGTGGTCATGTCTGAGAATAAACTGGACACATTAAGAAGTATATCAAGTACATAAAAATAGTACCACAAGTTCATTCTGTTTAACTTCTGTTTTACCGAGGCTCACCAGAACTACTCTGTTTTAGTGATATCATAGTATTATGGAAATCTGCCTTTTCTTTTCTCCTTTTTTTGTAATTCCTAAGGCCCCAAAATAACCTGCTCATTAGCTTCAGTCTAGTTCATTGTTAACACAAACAGACCAAAATGTACTTCCACTTGCAGAATGAAGCTGAAGCTATTTGAAGAAATAATATCAGCAGTGCTCACCTATTCAAGTTTTAAACAGAGAGGCATTCATGGGAAATGTCTTTGGATTCTTGTATTTCTTGGCAATAGACAAAAGCTTGATTATTTCATTTCTAACAAGCATGAACTGCGTTCTAATTGACTCTAGATGAAGAGAAAAAGGTTCCATGAGCTGCACGGTTAAACAGCTTACTTTTCAGCCATGAGCTCATTTTCAACTTTCATACAAAAACAATGAAAATATTAGATGTCAATTTTGAAAAGCAAGTATTGTCATCCTGGATTAAGACAAAGAATAAGAGAGGCGAGAACATAAAAGGGCAGGATGAACAAAGGTCCAGAATAGGGTCAGTTTCAACTTAGTATGCAAAGACTACTTCCTATAAGCTATCTTCAAAAAAGACTGAGTATTTGCTGTGCTAAAGCACAAAAAAGGAGGTGTTAGGAAAAAGTAAGTCTCCACTTCAGGGCCTCCAAAGCAAAGAAGGGTGTACAATCCAAGATACCTTCAGAGGTATTTCAAACACAGCCCAGCAAGCGCCCTAATTGTATCAGTTAAACTGAACATAGGGTCATAAATAAACTATCCAGCTTCGAGACACACTAAATAAACTGATGACCAGGCCATACACAATAATTATCTTCAGAATATCTATCTAACAAAACAAAATAAAAATCCATTTTTTAAATGTTAAAATCAACTTAGTACTCCAGCTATGACATAGCAAAAAGTTTGGTCTGGAGTTTAATATGCCAGTTTGAACCTAAAGCTATCATTTTTCAGAAATGGAAAATAAAATCAAAGTTTTCCCTCTAGGGACAGGCATGAAATTCCTTAATCATTTATAGAGTAGATTCTGCAGGATGCATGGGAACACTTTCCACATGAAGTGAGCATGTTACTTCCTGAAGCACTTTCAGCTGCCCAAAGTACCAAGCAGGAACCAGTAACATAACTTTTATGGTACCTACCTGAAATATGGCACTGTGTAGAAACACTAGTCCACTAAACAGGGCACAATCATTACAAAGTATTTGCATATTGCAAATGGAAACTTTAGACCTCACTGCCATAGCTGCCTGTGAATTCACTCTTTTTGGGGAAGGTAACAGTCTGTGCGGTGGGGTTTTTATTCTGAAGTACTGCAAAATGAGGGACAGAACTGGCAATTGCAACATGTTGACTTCATTGTTTTACATAAAGCCTGTTGCCCCCCCAAAAAGACAAAATTGTTCCAATAAGTAACTGAATTGCAAGCAAAATGCACTTTCGAACAATCCTTTCGGATAACAAATAAAATTAACAAAAGATAGATTTAGTAAGGAACATTTGAAATGAAAGGAATGCTGTGGAATTTTTCAAGTATCTTCAAATGTTTCAATACCTGTTATTAAAACAGTAATTTTAAGCCCTTATGCAATTACCTTGGTCTTCTAATTGGACTTTAACAAGTGAGTTCTCTGCTGCTTTGTCCTTGGCACGCTGCTCTTCTTCTTGTGACCACTGCATGTGGTCCCTGCAAAAAAGTAGTCGAAGAATATGCCTTTAAACACCTTTAAACATCTTTTTTTTTTTTTTTTTTTTTTTCCTTCTTTTTTTTTTTTTTTTTGAGGCGTGGGTTGGAGGGGAACAGTCTCAAATTAGCTACACTGTTTATTCCAATATTACAAAACTACATTTTGATGCAAGATGATCATTCAGTCAAACCCGAGTAAATTTGGATCTCCAGCAGATTTATATTAAAATTTTTTTTTTTGCTTTCCTGTTGACTTCAGCTGCTGCTACCCTGACAGCCAGTTCAGTGCTCTCTCCTAGCCAATGATCTTAGTAGCTAATTATTTTCACTAACTCCATAGCACACCATCTTTTTGTTCTTTCTGTGAGATACTGTCTAGACTTCCCTTTGCTCACTAATTTGTCACTTTAGCAGTGACAAAAGTTGTAGTGCAACTTCCTTATTTTCTCATGCAAGCCTTCATTTACCTAAGCTAACCTGTATGAAACAAACCCATTTTGTTCAAGTAATGTAATATATACTATATTCCAGGAAAAACAGTGCATTGGGTAAGCTTTGCCACTAAGAGCTGACAGTTACAGCATTTGCTACCAGATAACCTGAAATGTGTCAAACAGAACCATATTTCCTTTGAACTCACTCAACAATTTCATGATAGGCAGGAGTTTAGGGAGATATTTTGCAGTATCTATGCTTGTTTATATTATATTTTAATGGAATCCGCATCATGGAAAACAGTGCTATAGTGTAAACTTGATAAAATATTTAGCTCTCTATGATCTGCAAACAACCACTATGGAGCTAATAAACAAAGGAGTCAAGATTTCAAAAATTGTTATTCCTATGTTTCAAATACTTTTATTGTCTGCAGTGCAAACAAATGACCATAAGGGGACTGACAGTTAAAAACAGATTTGAGTCTACTATACATAAAAACTAATTATATGGTAAAACTCAAATGAAATGATAAAGAAAAACTTTCCATCTACAAATGGGCTAAAGTGGTAGCCATCTTTGTCTTAAGGATGGAACTACATGCAGGATATAGGGTTTATAGGAATGTGTTTCAAGGGTTTATAGGAATATGTTTTGAGTGTCCTATTAGGTTTGTACTTGACTTGGATATAGACCTATTAGCAAAGACCCTGATGCAAGAAACCTCTCATATTAGTAATTTTTAGGGTAGGAGGAACAAAGATCATTTAGCTAAGTAATCAGCTATTCATGAAACAGAGCATACTCCTTATTCAAGCAGAATAAGTGGAATTGCTGAAACAAGATTTTACCTAGTCAGGGAACAGAAACAGGATTCCCCTAAAAAGGGAGAATAAGACAAGCAGGGCTATGGTGGTTCCAGAGTCTATGCTATGTATATTTGTGTGAAGTCGTTCACTTAACATTATATTAATTCATTAAATGTACACAGAATCAATCCAAGACCTGACCCTAATGGCCCAGCTCCTGCATTCCTTGCAGATTCTGTGTTTGCATTAGGCCACAATGGGGAGTGTCCCAAAATGTCCTGGCAGCTTTTTGAAATGAAGCAGCTGCTTCATCCCCCAAAAGAAAGATTTCCCAAAATCTTTCAGTCTAAAGACAGTATTAGAACTATTAAGTTAGACAACAGAATTCAAGTAATCTGTTAGACCCTAAAGCTAATGAAATCAATTCACTGAAAACCTATGACTAAACTCCCACAGGTTACAGTGGCAGAAAGAACAATACACCAACTTGAAAGGGGCTGATTGTGTCTACAATTTATCTAGCATCCTCCCATTCTATACTTGGTGACACAGAGGTAGCTTAGGCCTTCAGTGCTCCTCTTGGTTAATTGTGGTAGACTAATTGGCATGTATTTGTCTGCTTTCCTCAGACTTCCTCATGTTTCCTCCTTTTTGCCCCAAATTTTCTCATTTCCACTGAAATATTTCGCATTGTTATCCCCTGCAGGTTGCTTTTTTTCCTTTCTGTATTTGTTCATGCAGAGAGTATTCCTGTGTAGCATCAAGGCTCTGATGATATGCTGTAGCAGAACAAAACTGAGCCACTGAAGCCACCTTCTTGGAAATTTGCTTCTCTCATTGCTATTTTTGACCTTGCCCATTCTAGCAAACTGAAACCAAACACTATTCAGAGGGCAACAGCATCTGTCAGAAGGGCTGACTATATGGATTGCTTGTATGCTTGATTGATTTTAACACATCATCATGTGTCTGGTAGAGCTCTTATGTACTCCATACACATTATTGTATGTGTCTGAGGTTCTCCATTTTAATTAAGAATTCTTTTTTCCTTTTCCTAGAACATCTATATGACAGACATCATAAGCAATAATGAGACAGCAGCAGCAGCAACTCTTGACCAAAATCTGTGAGACAGTGGAAACAGTATAGTTCTTACATAAACTATTCAAATAGCTTCAGTGCTTAAAATGAGAGAGCTCCTTCAGCATTGTAAGCTAGCATAAACACAGAATACAGAAGAATTTTAAGCATGGAAGTGTTTAAATTCAGAAGTGTTTTAAGCTGAACTTTGACAGTGGCAAAGCAACATCTCCATTTTAATCACATCAGAAACGTTAACACGACCTGACGTAATATCAGACAGTGATACTTCCATTTCAGCTTGCTCACGTTATCTCTTTTCCATTAACTTGTCTAAGGTCTAATTATCTCTGAGCCTCTAACATATGAAAACTAAGCCAATTACTAACCTGAATGGAAGTAGAAACTTTTTGCTCCAATGTTCAGATTATTCTCTCTCTGAATGACAGAAAATTACCACAGCAAATATCTAAATCTTAGTACCCAAATTTAATTTTCTTAGTACTCCCAGCAGCAATGATGGATGCTCTTGGTTCACTGTCAAAAGATGACTGTCAATTTTATAATCTGCCCAACAAGATGAATGGAAGACAGGAGGACATAGTAATGCTCATACAGAACACTGGGGAAGATCTGTCCCTACCCTACATGATCTATTCAGCTCAACCGCTGCTCATCCTGATTCCCCTTATCTCCCTAAGGATAACCCTGCTGAATCAGATCCAGGTCAGCCCCTCCCGATTTCACAGCCTCGTTCTTGATCTATCAGCTCTGTGGATTTATCTACAGATCACTGCCTGAACAATGCTCTTCCCAACAGACCTTTGAACAACCCCTCCTCACACCATATTCACAATCCATCCCAGCCACGTCTACCTCAGTGTTAAGATAGCCCTGAAAGCAGCTATCTAAGGAAAAAGTGAAGCTATACATCAGCAGCTATAAAAAATGAAACAAAACTGAGCTTTGCTGAGACATAATGTTACAGAAAAAGGGTGGCCTTTTTCTAAAAATCTATTTCTATATAGATAGACTATAGTTGAATCAGCTTTCACACACAAAAAAAAGGATCTTCCAATTAACAGAAGGCACTAAGTCTGGAAGATGCTTACACACTACACTACATAAAGATTTATAGAACAAAGATAGAGACTTTACACTCAAATACAATTACCATTTAGCTTCCAGCTTCCTTGAACAAGAAGCTTACAGGAGTTTTGATTTTTATGCAAGTCACTGAGAGTTCCATAATGGTCAGGTTAGTTCTGATAGTTTAAAGTTCTCTCTAGTGCTACCTTTAGACACACATATATATGTGTTTGTATGTATGTGGAAATGCACCTTGAACAGCTATCTTACCACATGTTATGCTCAAAAACCTTGGAAGGATCAGTCAAAATCCGTGATCCAAGTGGAACAGCTGGCCGCCTACTACTCTGGTGCCTCTGCTGCATCTTGTTTTTCCTCAGACATAAAGCAGAAAACCTTGTAATGAAATTCATTTTGTTCAGAGACCTACAAAACACGATTAACACAAAACACAGTTTTGTTGTAACATAATTGTTTATGTCACTTAAATGAGAAACTGATCAAATATTCAAGCACCATTATCAAACTTAAGAATAATCTTTAACTAAAATATCAATTTAAATGTCTTTTTTTTTTAATAGCAATGTTCCTTGAGTGTGCTGAAAGCCCAAATAAGCCAAAAGTAGGCTGCTGCAATAAGAGTATCTGAAAGATAGAACTTTGAAACTGCACCAAATGATTTATCGGGCAGTGAAGAAAAAAAAAAAAACACAATAAAACTATAAAAAAAAGTTTGACATTGTACATTTAAAAAGACAAGCAGAAAGCAATCAGTAAAGAAACCACTTGTTCTAGCAGGAACATACTGTCATTGGGCTTGACATTTTTCACCCTACTCACTAGGTTACAGTCTTCAAAAGATTTAATTCTGGACTTTTGACTGTGGTTTTGTGCTTTTATATAGGAAATAAAAAAATCAAAAAAAAAGAATTTGTAAGCATTATGCATGAGAAACCAACCAAAAAATTTTACTGAGTATTGTTGGAATCCCTGTTCAATTCTTCCTTTGATAAGGAATGGTTTAAAACATTAAATTCATATTCACAATAATTACGAAGTGCTTTAGATTTTTCTATTGTATGTATAATTCTTTCTTATATTGTTGTATTTTTTTGAGTCTGTTCATACAGTATTAATAATGGACGATAAAAAGTGTGCATATCTACTACCAGCATTTTGTCTTGTAGGTTTCTCTGGTATATTCTCATTAACGTAGGCTTTCTAGGAGATGAATAAAATAAAATACTCCACCTACTACTTTTACCCTGATGTGCCTTTGTTCTTTTCTTCCTCCAAGTGTTCTGTATAATACTTAAAAAAAAAAAAAATTAGCTTGTTTCTTCTGTATAAAGCATGCAAATATAACATACTGGAAATACAAAATATGCTTAAAGAGAAACCGGCACACTATAAATTTGATATTATTAAAAAAACATTCTGTGTGGCCACAAAATGGAGATTTTTTTTCTTGAGAAAAATAGTGCTATTTGATCACAAATCTTACACTGTGAATCAAAAAAGATTAATTTGTACACATCACTACAAAATCTGGCAAAGGAATTGCTTCAATTAACTAAACAATTCCTCATTTAATGTATACTTTTGAATGAGTCATGTTTTTTAAAAGGCCATTGTTTATTCATTGTAAGCCCAGCGGGAAAAAAAAAAAAAGAGAGATAAAGAAAATTTTAAAAATTATAACTTTTCTCTCTATTCCCTCTATTTGTCAAAGATTTTTTTTCTGCCTTTTGGCTGTCAATGCTAAACATGAATCATGTTACTTTTCATCTCCTGGGACTGCATCATATTACTAGATTATGGGGCTTCACATTATAGTGAAAATGTAGCATTTAGTCCTATTAAAAAAATTAAAAGCACTTCTATTTTTAACAAGTTTATTACAGCTCTTTTTTTGATGTAGTTGAACAACTAAAATGATACTAGTTTACATGTAAATTACTTATTACAAACCATCCACGCTCTCTTTCTGAAAATATGCATGCATTATTATTCATAAAATAATGCGTAATTATTAAAGTATATGAAATACTATCAAGTAATAACTATGAGGCATAAATATTAATACACCCGAGCAATTTTGCAAAATGTATGATTTACACAAAGGCAAAATGAGCATTCTCAAACACGCACAAAAAAAAAGAAATAATAAAAAACACTAAAATCATCATCAAAAATTATTATTAAATTATAGAAATGCCTGAATAAAAGAAATCCATGATTACCCTGCAAACTGTTTACAAATCTACTTCCTCAAGAAAGACCTGAGTTAAGATCCTGCATTTTCTGGAACAACATTAATATTCAACTTGAAATACAATGATTCAGCTGCTAGGCTAGTCAAATAATTCTGCTTGGCTTTCTAAATATCTCCGTAAGAACATAAAAAGATGCACAGATGGGAAATACAGTCAGATGACTAAGATGATCTGGCATCACTAAGAATCCGAAGATGGAGCTCTTCTTCTGACAGTATGACCCCTTCAATGATAATTGCACAAGTTTAGATGCTAAGTCTTGACAAGAAAATGTAAGGATAGTGGGGTGGACAGGGGAATTAATTTTCCTCTTGCGTAGAGTGTTTATCATCAGGGATCTCTCTCGTGACTTGCACACATCCCTGAGAGCCAGAGAGATCCACAGATCATGAGATTAATGGGCAATCTGGCTACCAAAGGTTCAGAAAGCACCTAAGTGACTCGGAAGCCTAAATGATATTTTCAGAAGTGAGTCATTGTTCCCTAGTTAATTTTGTTAATGAAGAAAGTAACCACCATTTCTCTTCGGCAGATTAGATGATCTTCAAAAAATGACAACAAAGAATATTGTCACCTGAAAGAATTAGAATTATTTCCTTCTTTGGATTCACAGTCAGGAAAGCAAAGTTGTTTTATGTTTGATTATTAATTATAACAATCCAACCTCACCTTTAAAGAAATGATAATGAAAGTGAATTACATTAAAAACTTCCATAGTTTGCAAAAAGATAACTATTTTTCAGGAAAAAAAAAAGAGAAAAAAAAGAGAAACCACCCACTCACCAGCTACGCTCAAGAGTAAAATAGATATTTTCCCCAGTGGAGTGCTGCATTTTGGCCTTTTGCATTTGGTCATCTTCACAAACACAGGTCATACCCTAACTTTAGTTGAGAATCCTACAGAAAGTACCCTGAAAAAGCATCTCCCCTCCCCTAACAATCTATCTTCACACCATTAGTGCAGTTTGGTGGAGGGGGACACACAAAATCAAGGTTTAACATGTTAACTGTCAGCTAAATCAGAAATAATACATTTTGTAATTGATTTCAGCAATGAAACTTTTGAGGAATCTCCATAAAGAAAAAATAAAGATGCGTCAGAAAATAATTGTTCTAATCTTGTTTTGAAATAGTAAATTATGCACAAAATATTCCATAATGCACAAAAATGCTTGTGAAGTATAGTTTTGAAACAAATGTCAGAAAAAAAAAGCCATTTTTGTATGAGAACCTGGTAAAAACGTTTGGACATTTCATGGATTTCTGACAACAAAGCTAGCAGTTCCCTCCATCTGCAGCCATGAAGCCTAACTCTACAAGTTGCTGTTAAGAAATATTCTGAAAACAATGAACTTCATGCAATTAATTCCTCTATTTGGCACTGAGAAGCTTATCTACACATTCGCCAGTTATTTTCCAGTGCTCTCCTGTAAAGCATATATTGACTGCTTTTATTATCATTGAATACAACCAAAGCTCAGAATGCCTTAGCTATAAAAGAGATGCACATGGTAAAAGAGCACTCATGAACACAAATTAAAAAACAACCTTAAAAAATGATAACACAAAAGAGGTGATTAAGTGTTATCAGTGTATATTTTAAAAATACACTTACACTAATATTTGAGATCTAGACATAGCCCAAGAATAGTCCTAATCAAGTTACAAAATGATATAGTGGAAGATGCAGGAAGAAAAGAATACAAGTCCTTTCTGGGCCTCATCGGGCCAGTTGCCTCAAGAGGCAACTGAAAGACATCTTTAAATACTTTAGAAAATAAGGATAACACTTTCTCCACAGAACTGATACAGCTGAATAACAGTTAAGAAAATCAAGTTAAGAAACTAGAAAATAATAAAGATGATCAGGAAAGAAATTAAAGGCTTTGTATCTTATGCAACAAAGTAGCATAGGAATTTGGAAGAGGGAGGTAGAAACGGTGGAACACCACATGAAAGGCAGCATATGAGCTCTGGGAAACTTCAGAGTTTTCTAGGAGCATTTCACCATGCATCAGACTAAATGGAGTTTAGGAACAGGACAGGAAAGTCTTCTTTGAGAACACCTAATATAACATTCACAGAAAGACAGGCTAAAGGCTTAAAATGCTATTAAAATGTTGTTATACTCTACAAAGTGAATAAACGTGCCCTCTTCGAGTTTTATGATTAGTCTTCCAATTATGTTGTTTCAAATATGCACATTTTTTTTCCAAGTATGAGTTACTTCACAGATTTTCAAACTCAGCATGTCTAAAACCCCAAACTGTTTTTCCTACAGGGATGCATCATCCCTTGGAATGACATAGGCCTTCTTGGGGGCAGACAATGACCTTAGTAAAACTTAACTACACACCTCCGACTATCAAGGGTGAAAGAAAAAACAAAGAGAAAATATATACATTTTGATTAATAAATACAAAAAGAGTATTTCATCATTATGACTCCTGTGGAGGGAATGCAGTTAACATCCGTCAAAAAGCAACAGTGTTTTAATATATGACAGCAACAAATTCTAAATTCATACAGAAACATTGAGCAAAAAGACTCTGCTCTTAACACCACTTTTCAGGTAGACCATTAAAAAGATTTTGTATTCTGTTGACCATAACTTTCAAACCAAAAAGTATTGGAAGGAAGAAAATAAATCCAATAAAACAGCCCATTTACTGAGAACATCTGCTGGAATTATACATGCAGAAGATGAGTAGCTGTACTTCAAGAAAAAAATATTAGGAACAAAATAATGCATATACTATATAATCACTTCTAAAAGTAAGAAAGCAAACAGAATGCTCCTATGGACAACTATTACTATCAAAGAGTATTTCAATTTTATAATGAAGTCTCAATAGTTTAATCAAATTCAATATACTCCACTTGTGAAAAATACCATGATTGCAACTTTCAAGCCAACTGAAGTTAAAACCATATTTTGATGACTAAAATCTGTCTTGTAATGGAATTTCCACTTTTATTCTGGCTCTATTTATAACAACATTCTCAGTGATAATGGTTCTACTATTTTATGTTTGTATCACCTACTAACAGCATATTCAGAAACCGCAATTATAAACATTATGACTAAAAAAAATTGAAAATAGAAATTAGGAAGATATTGTTTACTTTGTATAAAATTCTTAAATAATACATACTAATATAAAAAGTGAAATTCCCAGAAAATGTTTTAGGCCATAAACCTACAAATACTCATGCCTTTGTTTAACGTTACAGACAAAATGTCTCCTTACATAACAATCTGACAGATATAAAAATTAAATACATAAATATTCTGCCTAACCCACCCCAAGTAAAAGGAATTCTTAACTTTCCCTCATTTTCCCCCTCCCCTCTTTTTTTTTCTCCCATGAGGCACCTCACTTCCCTTTCAGTTATTTATACAGCACAACGTAACACGGAACTGACTCAACAAAATAATCTGTTTGCCAGTTCAGCATCAAGAGGAAGCCATCTACGATAAACATAGCTCAGGAATGAGGTTTCTTAGTTAACCTGTGCACCCTCTGCTGGCTGCTGCTTTGATAGGGAAAAAAAAATCTGGTGAATTTATGCATATACACCATGAAGATACATTTAAATAATTTAAATAGTTCTTTCTAAATTTAAATAGTTCTTTCAGTCATTGAAACTGCTTTTCAGCTACAAAGTATTGGACATATGACTGCAACAACTGGCAGCTGGTAATTTGTCTTGAATGTTAAAAAGATGTTTAAAACAGAGATAACATGAATTTTACAGTGACTGTAATTTACTTTTAAGAATCTCAGTAGTTACATTTCTGCAAGACTGTTAGTCTGACTGGACTTTACTGAGCTACGACTTGGAAGTTATTTCAAATCCCACGCACCAGCCCCTGCACGTTCAGTCTAACCCAAGAGTATCAAGAACCAACACCGGCTGATGCCACAGCTGCACGGCTGAACATGGCCTGCACCTGAGAACTCGGGGTTTTACACGCAGGAAACGGCCATGCAGGCACAAACAACTTCCCGACAACACCGCTGTTAGCCCCACCCCGCAGCAGGATCACGGCGGGCTCGGCCTGCTCCTCCAGGAGCTGCTGCGGCGCGGGGCACCAACGGCCGCCTCCCAACGGCCGCCCCCAGCGCCAGGGAGGCGGCAGCGCCGCAGCGGGGAGGCGCTTACTGCGCACGGGGGCGGAAACAAACGAGGAACGAAACGCCCGTTTAAGCTCTTTTTAAAGATAAGCTCCGCTATCCCTGCAGCGGTGGCCGGCAGCTTCGCCGCTTTTGCAAAGCGAACCCGAGCTGGAGCACTTACACGCACACGTGCAGGGCGCTCCTGGCCGCTCACTCAGCGCCTCGTGCTGCCATGCGGCCCGCAGCCC